AAAGGGTCAAGGATATTATTTAAATTTATTAAGGTAATATAGGGAAATCTAAATTAAATTGGGAGAAACAAGACATGGTAAATGGGAGTGATATAAGTACATTAATATCTATACCAAGATGTCAATTAAAATTTTTAAAATTGATAAAGCAAGAAAAAACAGTATAAACAGATATAAGATAATAATGACAAAAAAAGCGCCCAAATGGTTAAATGTTATTGAATGTCTGCAGCATAAGAATATGGGTGTTTCGATGGGATGTTTTTTTTCATAGTAATCCTCTCAGTGCTATTAAGTTTTTAAATTATGTGCATATGCTGCTTAAATGAAACAAATTTTAGTAGAAGTGAGATGATACAATCAAAAGTATAGTTGTCTTGTTATAATGTCTGAATCATAAACCTACAACATATGTCAACACAATTTGAAGCTTTATTTTCATGTTTTTATTATAAGATTAAAACTACTTTCCCTGCATAAATCTCAAAGTGATTTGAGGTACAAACAGGATCATGCATTGATGGGCTTCAGCATATTTACAAATTGAGATTATATAAATGTGATTTTTAGATGTCCTTCTGTGGTAGTTCATATGAGTTGTGCACATAATGTTAGTACAGGCTAATCTGTAAAGTGTAGAATATATAAAAATAAATTATTTAGGACAGCTTGTAATTGAAAAGGTGCAGAGCTATGACTTTGGGGATCTCAGCTCTGCGATTGTTGCTAAGAATTATTTTCTGAAGCATAGCTTTCAAATATTAAGTGGTCCATCACTGCAAGAATTAAGGCATGCCAAAAGGTGATATTCAGGGAAGAGAGAGCATGAATCTCTGGCTGAAATAGACTAGTGTTTTCTCAGAGCTGGTTTATTTCAAATGGCATATGCCTAATATAACTGTCCTCTCATCTTCCAAGAGTATAATCTAGTGTAGCCTTTGGCAGCCCCAGCAAGAGCTCACATCCCCAAACATCTTCATATTTCCCATGTGATTAGATACATAGATTAAGGCAGTTGATGTATGATCAGGCTAATGCTTACAAAAATCAGATCCAGAATTGGAGAGTTGGACTGGAAAGGGTCATTTCAGGGTCTAAAGGAAGACATTAAAAGGGCCATTACCTCCAACCTGTAGGTAGGCCAGTGTGGGCAAAGGGCTACTTCTCCCACGGGGCTTCTTGGATCAAACTGTAAGTTCCTCATGAAGGAGAGTTTTCCAAATATGGATCCTTGCCTACTTCCATTCTGTCTTTTTGTATGACTCTATCATACACGCAGAGGCAATGGTCTGCTACTCATATTTGCCATTCAAGGAGAGTACCTTCTTTTATGGATTTGATACGCTATGGCCCTCCAGTATCCTGGAGCTCAAAGTAATTTATAACATATCCTTGCCCCTAATATTATAGACTTTGTGGTTTAATAATAAAGTAGGGGAAACATAAAGAAAATTAAGAAGGCACTTAAGTCCTAAGCTGAGAGCATCTAATTTATCTAGCTCCTTCTTTCCCTTTTATATTTCTCCCCTGCACACCATCCTGCACATACAGAAACAGCAAATCTTTGTAAAGACTAGAAGAGACAAGAGGAACAATATACAATAATGAAATGAAATTAAGGAAGGTAGAGTATTAAGGTGAAAATTCCAGGATAAATGAAGAAGATTGAAATATTATACCTCTAGAAAAAGAAAATCTGAACTCTCATTCTTGAAACAAGTCAGTTTGACACTGGTGTCCCATGTAAGGGAATTAGTTTTAGGTAGAGCTGACTGACTTCCCATTTTATTATGAATTGACTTTACTAAATATGTGGTTATATTGGTTTTATTTAAAGAGCACCACATGACTGTAGAAATGGTACACACATTTAACTGCTGTTCAGGTTAAGTGTCAACACATGGAGTTAAATGTAAATTTTCCACACTAGCAAAAGTCATTGTAAAAGGATACAGTGGTGTTACTGTTAGTAACACTATTAAGAATAATTCTCATTTGGGAAACAAGGCAAGCCTCAATAAATTTAAGGAGATTGAAATCATCTCAAGCATCTTTTCTGACCACAAGGCTATGAAATTAGAAATCAACTACAAGAAAAAAACTGGGAAAGTCAGAAATATGTGAAGACTAAGCAACATGCGACTGAACAACAACTGGCTCAACAAAGAAATCAAAGGAGAAATTAAAAAATACCTGGAGATGAATGAAAATGAAAATAAAACACCCCAACTCTTATTGGATGCAGCAAAAGCAGTTATAAGAGGGAAATTCATAGCAATACAGGCCCAGCTCAACAAACAAGGAAAATCTCAAATAGTAATCTTAAACTGCACCTAAGAGAACTGGAAAAAGAAGAACAAGCAAAGCACAAACTCAGCAAAACAAGGGAAATAATAAAAACTAGAGCAGAAATAAATGAAATAGAGACTGAAAAAACAGTGGAAAGGATTAATGAAACTAAGAGCTGACTCTTTGAGAAGATAAAAAAATTGACAAACGCATAGCCAGACTCACCAAGAAAAAAAGAGTGAAGGCTCAAATAAATGAAATTAGAAATGAAAAAGGAGAAATTACAATGGATACTGCAGAAATACAAAGGATTGTAAGAGAATACTATGAAAAACTACTTGCCCACAAATTGGATAACCTAGGAGAAACGGACAAATTCTTAGACTCATACAATCTCCCTAAACTGAATCAAGAAGAAATAGAGAATCTGAGTAGACCAATCACAAGTAAAGACATCGAAATAGTAATCAAAAATCTCTCCAAAACAAGAGTCCAGGACCAGATGGCTTCTCTGGAGAATTCTACCAAACATTCAAAGAAGATTTAATATCTATCCTTCTCAAACTATTACGAAATTTTGAAGAAGGTGGAATGCTTCCTAACTCATCCTATGAGGCAAACATTACCCCGGTACCAAAACCAGACAAGGAGAATGCACAGAAGGAAAATTACAGGCCAATATCGCTGATGAACATAGATGTAAAAATCCTCAAAAAAATACTGGTAAACCGAATACAGCAATACAGTAAAAGGATAATATACACCATGATCAAGTGAGATTTATTCCAGGGACTCAGGGATGGTTCAGCATCTGTAAATCAATCAATGTGATATACCACATTAACAAAATGAGGAACAAGAATCACGTGATCATCTCAACAGATGCAGAGAAAGCATTTGACAAGACCCAACATCCATTCATGATAAAAACTCTTAATAAAATGGGTATAGAAGGAAAGTACCTCAACCTATTAAAGGCCATACATGACAAACCCACAGCCAACACCATACTCAATAGTGAAAAACTTAAAGCCATCCCTCTGAGAACAGAAACAAGATAAGGGTACGCAACCTACCAACTGGGAAAAAATATTTGCAAATCATATATCTGACAGGGGGTTTATCTCCAAAATATATAAAGAACTCATACAACTCAACAATAAGAAATATGGAAGATATTCAAGATATCCAAGTGGCAAGTCCTTAAATGTGACCAATTAGTTGAGGGGAATCTCTGAAAAGACAAGGGAAATGGGACAGAGGTCTGAATTTTGAGACACCAATCTTGACAGTAGAAAGGTGGAAAATACTTAATAGCAGTAAGAAAACAAAGAAGAGAGATACAACGGACCTCAGGAGCATGCACAGAGAATGAGCATTTCAGGAGGAATAAGGGACATTTGGAGTAGAAAATACTCATAATAGGAATTTCCCTAGGACAGAAGAATAATGTGAACACGGTATATCTGAACTCTGACAACTGCCAGCAGGGATACCTTGAATAAGTCACATTTCCTATCCAACCCTCAGATTTCTTACTTGTAAAACGAGTCTTTAATAAAATACCTACTTGTGAAGATTAAACGTGAAAGAGTAATGCCTGGCCCATACTGGGTGATCAATACATACTAGCTGGCAGTAGTAAGAATCGCAGTGGGAGGAATATGCCATTGCTAAAATAATTAGCATCAGGGGATTTCATGAGACTACAACATTTAACAGAAAAAAATGGAAAAAAAAGGAAAATATTTGTGAAATAGCATAGGCTAAAATAAAAACATACTGATGAAAACAACACACTGTCGTGTGATGACATCTAGCTAAGGCACTGAACTGGCCTGGTTAAGAACATGGATTAAAAGGCAGACACGGGCGTGAGTCTTAACTCATCACAAACTATCTCTGCAACCTTTTGAAAATTAAATTTTTGTTTCTTTACCTGTTAAATGAGTGTCAATAATTGTTATTTCAGTGGGTTGCTGTGAGAATTAAATAATACTATCAGAGTAGAATGCTTAGCACATTTTCTGACATTACACTAAAACCTTGATAAACATTAGCTACCCTTTTCTTTTTGAAAACATAAGATGAGTTTTTCTTAGGCAAGCCAAAACCTAAGAGTCGAAGTATGCTCTTTCCTAAAGTTATTACATCGGTAAAATAATGTTAAAGGAAGGGCTAAAAATCTCAAGGCTTCGGGAAAAGCAATTTTAACCTTGCACCAAATCATGATGATGAGCACTTGGAATGGTGCATTCCTTTATAAACACCTTATCCCAAAAGCCGAAGAATGTTGAAAGAGTCCTTAAAAGGTATAAATTAATTATCAAAGGATGCTTGTCATGTTTAATGAGAAAAAAATAAAAAATATACCATCAAATCAAGAAGGATGTAAACATGTATTAAATCTTAGAATGCTCTGATGAGAGGTGATAAAAATATGCAGAATTCCATAGAATTTGAGAAACAGAATTAAAAAAAAATTTGGATATTCAGAGAACATACATCTAAATTTCTTATTGACCTTATACAGTCTAGCCATGGTTTCTTAGGTAACGTACGATATTACTTTTGGGAACAGAATGAGCTGACACAAGAAAACCGAGCAGGATGTACCTTCTTTTCAAAGGAAACTATTGCAATATCAGCTCCAAAGCCAGTGACTTAGTCAGGTGTCAGTTCACAACACATTCTTGTTGTACAGTACATACCTCTGCAGAAGGGAGCTGGGAAGTCCCATGATGCGCCGTTCCCAGGACTAACAATGCAGGTCAGAATTGCATGACCTTCCAAGATATAGCCAGAGAGACAGCTGTACCGGATTTTGTCTCCTATGTTGAATCTTGTTCCGTGGAGAACTCCTTTCAATATTTCCCCAGGATTTCCACATGTGTGGCTCGGTAAAACTAGTGGAAGAAGAAAGGAGAAAGAAATAAAAGTTAAAGATTTTCTATTGAAATCAACTTATATTCCAAAACTCGACTTTTAAATTATTTTTAAATTATTAAACTAATTTTTAAGCCACATTTAAATTATTAAAATTAGCAAACCTAGCACAAAACAATTTTAATTTTGCCTAAAATTAAAAAGAAATGTATTCATGTTTTACAATATCTGCAATTCAGTACTTTTGTAAAGATTATTTTAAAAGCATAGGCAAATGCATTTTGATAAGAGGGAATAACACAGTTCTGCTTAGATGTAATGTTCTGAATGATGTCTAGATTATTTTTCTAAATTTAAGATTCTACACTCCTATATAGTTAGCAACCAGATAATACAGTAGGATATAGATATCTGAAAAAGTGATATCAGAAATAAAGCATGCGTTAATATTCACGCCATATTTATCCTTATTCTTCCAGGACCAGCACTGGCTGATACACATCGCTAATCAACTTTCGAAGAATATTTGATGGATAAATAGCTGAATTAAAGAATAAATTAAAGATCTCATTCATTAACCTATCAGACTGAAAAAAAATTGTGCCCACTATTATATTTTAAGCTGTCTGTAAGGCTCTATGCATTTCTATAGTGTCTGATTCACAAAAAAGTTTTAAGTATCAGTTTTAACAATAGGAGGACTGTATTCACTCGCATTTCAATAAGACGGGCTTGAGTCTGCTCTTGCTTGACCGTCTCACTTTTTACACTGAACGTTTCTCTGTGTGAATCAACTGCCTTGAAACCTAACCGCCATGATGCCATTCCATGCTCATGCAACATAATCTTGAATGTAATTCCTGAACCATTAAGTTGAATGGATGAAGTTGATGATTGTGGCTATTGCCTCCCTATTTCTGGTTTAAGTTTAGCTTGTCATCAGTAAACTAGCTGCTATTACGTAGTATTCAAATAAACTGAGAGTCCTACTATTTAAAAAAGGAGTGATTTCGAAATAAAAAATATTTCTAAATGAAAAAAATTAAATGATTTTATATCTATATCCAATTGTTTGAACGGGTATGGGGGTGCATTTTGAGATATATATATATGTATAATGTAGTGTAATTTTTCTGTTTTATTTTTCTGTAAACTGAGAAATAGATAGAACTTTCCTATTGAATGGGGAGGGATTCTCAGTGATTTTTAAAATGCATTTATTATGACATTATTTAAATATATACAAACAAAGCTATGTAGAAACACAGAAAACAAATAGTACTATTTAGATATTTAATATTATGACATCTATAAAATCACTTTTCCCATAGTCAAAGTGTGTTCAGTTCTAGTTTTTAAAAAATAATTTCTGAAAACAGTCTACAAAAACCTGTTTGACAACACAATAGAAAATAGTTCAGGATAGTCTACAATCATCTTTGCTTCTTTTACAAAATAAATTGTTTATTTAATCCCACATTCACTATCTCTAAGACAAGAATTTTATTTACAAAAGATTGTTTATAAACATTTTTAACTGTTTCAGCATTTAACTGCCTATGATCTTCTAAGGTAGGGAAGATTTGAATTTTATCTTGGGGGAGCATTTCTCTTAATGACTCAGGACACCTGTCACCCAGCATAAGCTGGGAACTTATTATCAGAGACATGAGGCTGCTGAATCTCTACCATGCGTGGGGAGAGAAAGAGAAAAAGGGTAAGGAGAGAATTTGTAGGTATGAATACTTTTAGTTTTTGTCGTTCTCATCCAGGAATATTTAGAATTAACAAATCCTTCCTTTTTTTTAGGGCCTTTATTATTTTCATTAGCTGTTAGTAATACTCATTATTGGAAGACACATACTCACTATGGACTGTGTCCAGATATACTGTTTCCCTAAAGACCAGACTCTTTCTGTGTAAATCTATCAAAGATCTTAAAACCTGATAAAGGTAACGACAACAAGTAATTGCTTTGAGAATTAGAAAAAAGCAAATGAGCCATCTGAAAATTGAACATAGTCTACACAACTTTTCCATCCATTTTTCTATTGAAAATAGCAAGAAATCATTTGTTAAAATTCTCTTTAGCACAGATACTATAATTGTTGCACAGAAAGATCATCATAACAAAAGTACAATAAAATATGAAATAGACCACAAGATGCTGCTGCTGCATGGACAAACTTCCCACTATATCACCCACAGCCTATTTAAACAAAAGTAAGTAATAAACCGTATGCAAAAATTGACTGTGCAATGATAGTGCCAGAAAGTATGTAATCGTACTGACTTCAACATTTTTGATGGAAAAAAATATTCCTGAAAACAAAGGTCTCCTTAAGTAGGCTTCTGAAAACATCCATGCCTTAAAACTTTTAACAGAGAGTTATAAGTAATATTTGGAAACATAGACAAATAATAAAATTCAAAAAGAGAAATTATTTCTGCCGTTCCACATCATCAAGCTAGGAAAGCTATCTTTAATAGGAAATAATGTAGATGTTAAAATTAGCAACCATCAAAGAAAAGAGTAGCGATAAATGGAGCGTGTACCTGTATCTATAATTAAAGTCATATCTCCAGTTGTTGCAGATGATGTGTAGTTGTCGGCTGCCCTCTGTAATAGCAATGGCCATTGGTGCCCTCCACGTGCACAAAGCCCTGTGCAGTGACGGGCAGTTCTAGTTCTGGGCCATATAGCTTTCTCTTCTGTAAACTCGTCCCAGCCACCTTAGACCAGTATAAAGTCTCCCTTTTTGTTCTTGTCTACAGATCCTGTGTTTATCTTAACATCTTGACAACTATATTAGGATTTGAAAAATGCCTATCAAACACTTGTCCTCTGTACAGCCTCGTTTTCATTTGACAAGGGAATGGGATGGGAAAGAGAACTGATAGTAAGTCTCTGCTTTTACCCGTACTAGCCCCGTTTATTGACTAAAAACATGTCCCCGTCAGTATTTATTTCACAGGGCACAGTGAGGGGATTGAATGAGACAACACAGGTCTCCAAACATCCATTCTGAATCACACTGCATTGCACCCAACTGCCTCCAGTCTGGACCTTGAATTGGTCAAGATCAGAGCAGCATCTTTTCATCTTTGTCTATATGGTGTCCAGAATAATGTCTATCCCTCAGCAGTGTCTTGCTAATATATATCTGCTCAACTGAACAATAAATAAAAATATCAATGTAAAATATATCACGTATTCTTCCAGATATATGTACAATAAGTAAAATTTACATAGCTCATAGTTTGGTGGGAATAGTAGAAAACAAACGATATTTTCAGAAACCAATTGGACAAAATCACATTTTGGAAACAGTGAATCAGTAACAAATTATAACTTTAAGTCACTTTTTTCCGTATCTAGATAAAAATGTAAATAGTCCTCAGAGGCCTAAAATGAATATAAGAATTTTAAAAGTACAACAACAGTAAGTGGGAAAAGGCTATTAAAAACTAATTTGTGAAGTTTAAAGTAATTGATCGGTAATACAAAGTTATAAATTTATGATTAAAGGGAATGAAGATTTTTATTGTCAGCCAATTTTATTTTAGAAAAACATTATTAAAATTTTAATGTGAACAATGTCAGTAAGCAAAGAGAAATAATTGAGGATGAATTAAAATATATACTTCCAGCTGCAAACAAGAAAAGTGCAAAAATGCACATAATATTATAAATGCATCCACAATTTCATTTAAAAAATTATCAAAATAACCTAAATTGTGAAAAATGGATGAAATCATTAAATTTCTACATAAAGATTTAAGACTCAGACATGTAAATACTACCAACATATGAGACTCCAGCGGCTTGGAAAAACTAATTTAAAGCAAATGAATTCAACCCAATTGTCATTTCTGCCACTTTCACTTTAACTAATTTTTAACCAGTTTCCCTGAAGATAGTGAATGTCCCTTTGTGTCTCCCACAGTAATGAGTTCACATTAAGTATTTGGTAAAAACTTATTGAATTGACTTGAACTCCACTTTTAATTCCCTTCAATCTTTCCTTGAAGTAATTTGCACTCTTTCCCATAGATGCTTCAAGAAAGAAATTCTTATTTGGGTAATGGGAATTCTGCACCCAATGCAGGCATTCGGTGATGTGAAAGAATTTCTTGAAAGGAACACTGGGCACCGTTCTTTCCTCTCATGGCATGTTTCCATCAGACCTCATGAAGCCAAGTGTGTACACCAGGGCTTGTCACACAGGCTGTCATTCTAATTAGGTTCACTGAATCTCCCTCCATAACCCTTTCGATTTGGCAAGCGCATGTGGTCACAACTCAGTGACTTAATTAGGCTCTCACATCAAACCTTTAACCCAACTGTTTAAGTGATGGAATGAATGTCATATGAAATCCCCTTCCAGGAGAAAAGTGCAAACATGATACTACAATAAAATATAGCATTAATATTCATTGGGACAAGAAAATGGGAGAAAAGTTAAGTGAACAAAAGTGTGGACTGCATCAGCGGAGGAGCAGCATTTGTAGCAGCTTGTGTACAATCAATGAAATATCATTAGGTGAATTCACTTGGAAAGTGGGTCTCCCAAGGTGCATGTCAGATGAGGTATTTAAACTTTGAATTTCTGGTCATCTCACTGTAGCTTAAGGAAGTAAAACTTCAAATACTCACATGATACACAATACTTGAAACGTAAACTAAGAATATGAGATGTGTTTGTCCACAGATGTTTGCCCTGCACTCCCACCCGCCACCTTTGGGAAGGATGAGAAAAATCTGACTATGTAATTTTCAGGAAGATTATAAAAATCAGATTTTCAAATCTCGAAACCTGACATTTCTTCTCTGCAGCTCTCTGAATCGTGGCCAATTCTTGAAACAGGAAGATGCTGAGATGGCAGTTACATGACAAAAGTAAGGAGGACTTCTCAGTAGGGAGCAATTATTTAGTACCTTCCATTTCCAAAATTGCGTTCTCCATGGGAAAAGTAACAGTGAAGGAGAAATGCTGTGGAAATGCCATAACTCTGAAAA